GCACTGGACTTCAAACTTGGGGAGGTTCTTAAGGAATCAGATGGTTGTGTGGTTGTTGTGTGATCACCTTCTGAAGAGTGAAAGCATGAGAGCATTGGCTGTATGGATAGGTCCAGATATCATTTGTATTGAACACAATAGAGGAGTCTATCAAGAGCTGATAGCCAATGTTCATGGGTTAGACTTAATACGACTTCAAATTGGTAAAATTTTAAATTTAAGATTAACCACTAGTCCGGATTCCTCCTGCCAAATACACCTAGCCCTGATGGAGAGAGATTTTTGCTTAACCCCTGAAATGCATTGGCTGTCAACTCTTAATAGACTCTTCTGTTGTGACAAATAAAAATGATATGAGGAACAATTTTAGTGGTTTGGCATGTTCATCCTTTCACTTTATATAAGATTTTATTTGCTTATGCCCTCTGGGAAGATTCATCAGGTGTATTTGCTCTTAGAATATGTGTGCATGAGAGGAAAGCTTTGGGGATACACAGTGAGTGGGCAGGAGTGTACAGCTCTATGTCCCTGTCAGTTTGTAGAAATGAATGTCCTAGTGGAACCTTAGCAATGGAAGCTGGATCATTAGAAAAAAATATATTTAATGTAGAACTATTGGCAGACCATTTTTTTTTTATTTTGGATAGAATAAGGGAGGGCTATAACCCCTGTCAGTTTAATTTTTGCCATCTGTGTCCCATTGGGGAGATTTACCTTCACTTCCTGTTCCACAGACAAAACAGGAAATTAAAATCTCAGCAAATTAAGTGATATTCCTTTGGGACCTCCATGTCCTAAGAAATAGTGTCACCATTGGAAAATTTCCCCTTTAATACTTTTCTTGGGACTGCCCAAAATTTGGGGTTTCTTTTAGTTTAACCACTTGCCCTCCAGAGGATTTACCCCCCTTCCTGACCAGGCCAATTTTTGCGTTACGGCGCTGAATTAATATAACTGACAATTGCGTGGTCATGCAGCGCTGCACCGAAATTAATTATAAGTCCTTTTTTTCCGATGAATAGAGATTTCTTTTGGTGATATTTGATTGCCTGTGCATTTTTTATTTTTGCGCTATTAAGAAAAAAATGTCCAGTAAAAAAAATTTTAAAAAATCAAATTTTGTCATACATTTAGGCCAAACTGTATTCTGCTACATGTCTTTGCTAAAAAAAAAAATCCCAATACATGTAAATTAATTGGTTTAGTGAAAGTTATAGAGTTTACAAATGGCGGTATAGATACTGGGATTTTCAATTTTTATTTTTACTAGTAATGGTGACGATTAGCGACTTATAGCGGGACTGTGGGACTGCATTGGGCATTCTGATACTGGGGGGAACTGACTTGGTGTCATTGACATCCCCAGTGACATCAACACAGTGATCAGTGCTAATAAAAAGCACTGACACTATACTAATGGCACTGGGCAGGAAGGGGTTAACATGTGGGGCGATCAAAGGGTTAACTGTGTGCTGTTTTACTGTGTGTGTGTGCTTCATTGTAAGCACACTGCTATGCATGGCTCTGCAAAGCAGTGTGCAGGAGCTGACAGGAAAGAGAACTGTATTGTTTACTTACAGTTCTCTCCCTTCGTTCAGTAATGCTCCACGATCTCCGGGTGCCGGTGAGTAATCACCGGCTGGGACCCAGTTATGACAGCTGAGGCCACAAATAGCGGTGCGGGTAGGGCGCATGCACAGCTTTCATGTGCCCCCTACCAGGAAATGCAAAATCACGTAAATATACGTGATATTGCACACCCCTGCCGCCCTGTAGCAGTATATCTGCTATAGGGCGGCTGGAAAGCGGTTAACTTTTGATGAAATGGTTAACAGGACAAATAGAGAGGGTGAACCTTGCTATGGGGGACACAGACAGCAATAAAAACTGACATGGGTTCTAATCCATCACCACTCTCTTCCACTTAAAAAACATTTTAATTATACTTTAACTTCCAGCATTTGTGTGAGAAGAACAGGAGTCCAGCCTGCAATAAGAGAGAGCTCATCCCTTCACTGCATCAAAGAAACTGTTTTGCAAATATATCTACACACACAGGAAGATCTGTGTGTTTATGGTTCTTCATCCATATTGCAAATATTTTGTAACTTTAACTAACTACCCCTCCTAACATGAAAGAGGATCAAAGCATAGCTTTTAATACATCCAAATGTGTCTGTTTACTATACTATATGTTTACTCTGTATGTGTGTGTATAAATGTATATATGCAGCAAAATAAACACAAACAAACAATGGACTGATTCATAGGTTTCTTTTTGTGAATGAGAATTTGTTGATTTTGCAGAGACACTTTGGTCTGTGAACCTTGTGACAGAATAAATCCTAAAAGAGTTTCACATTTTTAAATTCTAACACTGCAAGGGTTGCTCTGTGTTTTCTGCTGAATTAGACATGAAAGTTTATAGCTGAATAATTCTCACTCAACTGAACTGTTTCCCTTTGAAATCCCCTTTGAAGCACAGGTCACTGATATGTGATTCACTACCCATGCTACTTTTTAGCTCTCTCGTTTGTACTGCATTCTACATTCATAGAATCCGTACACTCATGCTACAGCGGACAAGCAGGCTAGTGAGGTGGAAATTCTGACATATTGGATAATCTGTCAAAGTAGAGAAAAATAAGCAGTGGCTTGACAGGACTAAGACCTATGTGCTTTCATAGGAGATAAATGCCTAAGCACATTTTGCTTGAGAATAATTTCCTTAAAAATATTAGGCTCTTTCTCTTCCTCTCTGGCTTTACTCGGAAATAATGAGCATGATTTCCAATCCTAATATTTTTAAGGAAATGTTAATTATTTCTGAGTTAAGCCAAAGAGGAGGAGAAAAATACATGGTGTTAATTTATAGATTTGAATACAAAATGCAGCATGAACTTTGATTTCTCTAATTTATAGTATAATTTAATAAAGCAAAACATTGTGTTTGTGTGTGCATTGTGCACTGATGAAAGAAAAAAGGAGGTGTCTTTTTTACTATATGAACCAAGCAACAGCTGTCATTTGATAACTATAGCAAATTTGGAAGGTAAATCAGCATACAGTTTTCATTATCAGCATTCAAAATATAGCTAAAAATAACAGTATATACTGTATGCTTAGGAAGATGCTTTGTATAGAATGTTTTTCCAAGATTTACACATACTGTACATGAGAGTTCATTTTGCATTTAATTATCACACACTGTCCTAGAAGCAGCAGCTTTCTGTGCATATCTCAGATATATGTTACTAATTTATGTTACTAATTTATGATTTTCATAGTCAAGCTGGTGTGATCTCATTATGGTTTTTTTTACAATGACTTTATATGTTACATGTTGTACTTAATATTTGGAACTTTGTTCTCAATTTTAATATATAGTCATTTTCCCTGTAATTGTTTAGACACCATAAGACACAAGGGTTAGTAACAGTGGACATTGTTCTGCTGAAACATTAATGTGGATAGCTAGATGTGGGCAGGACTGGAATTGCTAACGTTTGCAATTTTATAACACTCTGAGTCCATAATACCGGATGTGGTGTCATTTTAAAGTGGCATTAGAGTGGTCAGTCTAGTGACAGGAAACATTCCTATTAGTGCACATAATTCAATTCCTAATGTAGTGTGAAATGCTATCTATGCTGTAGTATGCTCTATTTAATTGCTTCCCATTCAGCTATGGTACATTAAAGGCCAGACAGGAGCAGTGCCGATGTAGGTAGGCATAACCGTATGTCCAGTGTTTTGATAAATAATAATATTGTGGTGCCTGTGTATCTGTATATACAAACAATAAATGTATGCCCGCAGTACGCTGGCAGTGTAGATTGACAGCTGCCCCTAAAAAATGAAAAACCACCTAAACATAAACAAACATGAATAGTTAGGCACTAAAACAACCATGCAACAAAATGTAAAACCATTCAACTCTCTGCATCTTTTAGCAGGTAATAGTACCAGATCAAATGTGATATTACATACTCCCAGTAACATCTAGACAATAATAAACATCTAACAATTATATACGTGATATATAGTGATCACAGTATATTATAGTGACAGTCCCATGTAGATGCGTTGCTGCAGACCAAAATCTGTGCGCTTTCACCATGCGAAGATGAAATAAGTGAATTTCTCACTAAACAGAGATAGTTGACCCTAATTAAGGTCATCAAATACTGCATTGTTATGATATGAATAGGAGAACAACAGTAGGCTCTCCTGGTATATCCCTTCCATTCATCAGCACATCATAGGTGTTGCACCCAGTTGGATATTGACAAGATTCCAGATATAGCAGTAGTGAATGGGCTCTTAGTACCAGGCTCTCCTTAACCATAGAGATGATGCTCCAAGCAGCTCTGCAGTACAGACGTTGGACAGGGCACTCTGTCTGTTATGTCTGCCTCGTCTGGGATCCCTGGAGGCGTACGGCTAACCATTCATTCTAGTCTAGTCACACTGGTAACTGCAGGCTAGGAAAAGGCACCCACCTGATCGGAGAATCCTCAGCAGTGGCTGTGAGCAGCTCAGAGCCCACTACATTGGTTATATATTAATATTCTTTTTTAACCACTAGCCTACAGGGCACTTATACCCCCTTCCTGCCCAGGCCAATTTCCAGCTTTCAGCGCTGTTGCATTTTGAATGACAGTTGCGCGGTCATGCAACACTGTACCCATATGAAATTTTTATCATTTCTTTGTGACAGATAGAGATTTATTTTGGTGGTATTTAATCACCTCTAAGTTTTTTATTTTTTCTTAAACAAACCAAAAAACCACTGAAAATTATGAAAAAAAAAAAATGTTTTTTTTAGTTTTTGTTATAACATTTTGTAAAAAAAAGTGATTTTTCTCCTTCACTGATGTGCGCTAATGAGGCTGCAGTGATGGGCACTGATAGGCTGCACTGATGGACACTGATAGGTGGCACTGCTGGGCACTGATGAGGAGGCACTGGTAGGTGTCACTGTTGGGCATTGATAGGCATCACTGATGGGCACTGAAAGGCAGCACTCATATATGGCACTGATAGACGGCACTGACTGGCACTGTTAGGTGGCACTGACTGGCACTGCTAGGTGGCACTGACTGGCACTGTTAGGCGGCACTGATAGGCATCGCTGATGGGCACTGATAGGCGGCACTGATGCACACTGATAGGCGGCACTGTCTGGCACTGATAGGGGGCACTGACTGGCACTGATATGTGGCACTGATTGGGCAGCATTGATAGGTGGCACTGACTGGCATTGATAGGTGGCACTGACTGGCACTGATGGGTAGCACTGAAAGGCAGCTCAGATGGGCACTGATATGTGGCACTGAAATGTGGCACTGATGTGGCACTGATGGACACTGGCAGGTGGCATGGATGAGCACTGAGAGCTGGCACTGATGGACACTGACAGGTGGAGCTGCTGGGTCTACACAGATCATCAGGGCACACTGATCATCAGTGCTCTGATTATCTGTGTACATGTCCCCTCTGAGGAATGCCGATTACCGACTCTCCTCTCCTCACAAGCTGTCAGCGTGACAGCTCGTGGGGAGAGAAATGCCGATAACCTGCATTTCCCTGTTTACATGCGATCAGCTGTGATTGGACACAGCTGATCACACCGCCGGTCGCTGTGCTGTGCACTCCAGGAGCTGCACATGCACTGTTAGAACAAGAGAACCGCCTTGCGTCCGTCATATTACTATATGGTGGGCGGGAGGCAGTTAAACATGTTTGGACCTTTTTCATTTATATAGCAAAAAGTAAAAAAACCCAGTGGTGAGTAAATATCACCAAAGGAAATCTCAATCTGTCTAGAAAAAGTAATTGTCAAAGTATGACATTGCTGAAAACTGAAAAATGGCGTGAAAGTGTCCAGAATTAAAGTGGCTAAACAAAAAATAAATATAAATTCATAAATAAATTCATTTTGTGAAGAATTGATAAACCAACAGGTTGCGCTTATATCAACAATGTGAACCAAATAAAATTAGTGTCCAAAAAATATTGAATATAAAATATAAAAATATAAAGTCCGGATAGAAATATTGTGTTGCAGTGAAGAAAAAAAGTTTTAGTGTCCAACAAAATTCACCATGTGCCAATCCACCACCAGATAAATTAAATGAACTCACCAGAGCAATATGCTGATCAAATTATAAATCAGCATAAGCGCTTCCTGTTCTGGGAGCAATACTCTGCAGGAGAATGAACAGCACTGAAGAATGTATCCGTATATTCAAGGAGCAATACTCTGCAGGGAATACTCGGCAATATAGATCCACTTCTTTAATAAACACCTGTTCCTCAGATGTTCAGACCAACACTCAGGATATAAGAGAACAGAAAACTTATGGTCAGGGGCAGACTGACAACTCATGGGGCCCCCGGGCAACAGGGGATCATGGGGCACCTGTGTCCTTGCCCAAACTCAAAAAAGCCTATGAAAAAGGTACCTGGGGCATCTCATGGGGCCCCCTACTGACCCCAGGCCCTCGGGCAGTGCCCGAGTTTCCAAATGGTCAGTCCGCCCCTGTAAGTCCGCCCCGGGCCCGGGGTCAGTACCTTAAAAATCTTCTTATTTATTAAAACTCATTGCACTTAAACATATTGGTGTCCCAGTCGACACCAGCAAACAAAGCGTGATACTAACCAGTAAAACAAACCCAGCCTTGTCCCACATGCGCAGACACTGACAGCTCGGGAACGTAATGACGTCACATCCACAGGTGCAACCTGTTGGTTTATCAATATATGCACTTTTTAGGTTAGGTTTGCAGCTGTGATAGTTTATGTTTTTTGTTTTTTTATTGTTATATATATTTTTCCGTGGTGCTATCCATATTTGTTTTATTTTGATTTTGTGAAAAATACCTAATTGTGTGTAAGGAGTTTTGCTCATGCACAATGAATTCAGCACAACTTCACCTCATTTATAAAGCTGAAAATGTACTTTGCAAAGTAACTCTATGCGACCAGACCAGCATAGCTAGTACATTCCCCTTTCACACAAACCTGCTAATCCTGCTTTATATGATCTCTGTATTAATTAGAGTCCCTTTGTAGTCATTTGGACCAAAGCCCAGGATTACTCCACTGCTCTAAGCGATTAAATCTTATGCCCCTGGTGTAATTCTACACTGAAATCAGCAGGCACTTGATAAGTGGAATATAGTAAAAATGGGCATAGTTTAAAAAGCCAGGCAGTGATACACAAGAGAAAACTACATCTAAGGGATATACTGATACTTACCATCTTTATGATGAGCTGAAAGGGAGGGGTTCATATAGCATATTTTATTCTGGGAAAGAAGAGTTATTTTAAAAAGAATAATTGCCCTATAAATAATTTATGTAATCACCCCTTTAACCAAATACTGTATGTCTATCAATGTACGGACCTGAAATAGAGATCTTTCCCTGCACCAGGCAGAGTTTTTCTTACATTTGAAGCTGACATAGCTTTCCATGGATGTGCCCTGTGCATGCATCATCATCATATGCATCCTCATCACAATCAGCTGCACAGGAGATCAGTGAAGTGGTAAGTGCCACCCAATAGCTTAATTTGCATCTGAGGTATATTATTAATTCATTTGATTAGCAGAGTCGGTAATTCAATGTACAGATATAGTGTAAGGCTACTTTTATTCCTGAATTATAAAGTAGCCCACATACTGTATACTTCTACATTTAAAGTCAGTCTGGTAATAAGAATATTTGATTCTGCAAATAATCCTATATATTATCATGGATGACAGGCTTCTGAAATGCGGCTCATTATATTATATGTTAGTAATAAAGAGATATTTTATTAATACATTTTATAATGTGTGTTTCTCCGTAAGCTCAAGGGTATTCTGTCTATGTTCTTAATCCTTAAAGTAGCTAATTAGAATATAAGTATTGGGCTGAAAAGCTCCCCGGACATCAAACATAAGTGCTAATGCTCTTCATCTCTGTCATGTCTTATTAGCAATTAGCATTGTATTTTAACAGATTTCACTCGTCTCTCTTGGATTTTTATTCTTCTCATTATGCATATAGATTTTCTGCTTGGTTAAATGTGCTGGAAAGATGTTTTCTTGTTACGTTTAGGAAGTACAGGCTAAAGCCAAAAATGTAAGCATCCTCTTCATTAATAGTATACTTAGTTAACATATAAAGTGTCCTTTCTTCTTCTAACCAACACCCACTGAGATTTCTACAGCTTGACAGATATAAATTGACAAGCAGTAAACATTAACTTTTTATCAAGTGCCAAAGCCGTAGCTAAGGCTGGTGATCCACTGTTCCTGCTGAATCAGCCAAAGTTTGAGCCATAGTTTGCCCTGTTGGCACCATCTGACTCAAAAAGAAAGATTTGGGGCTCATTCACACAGCCATCCAGGGTTGTTCTTTGCCCAGATTAACACATTCCTGCAGTGGTTACAGCCAGATGCTTATGGACTAGAAGTCTGTACAAATCAATGACAGGCTGACACTGGTTGCTGTTGCTTACACTGATCACAACCTGTTGCTCTTAAAAATCAACTGAACTGGTGGAAAATTGTTTGCTGAGCAGTGACTGCATACTATCAGATGCAGTCATTGTTTAGTCATTCAGACAGCCCACAAGGGAAATTCTTCAATTCCTGCTGTTAGCATGGATGGGGAAATCAATTACTTTCTGTTATTCAGTCCGTGGGGCTGAATTAGAGAAATCTAAATGTGTATGACTAGCCTAGCACTAGCTACCATTATGTTGGGGACAGTATGTAGTGCACAAAATGATCAAAATCTGAAAGTTTGTAATTAAATAACTGTTTTAATGTTAGTGAAAACAGTCCTATCTTTGTCCTTTTTATCTGTGTTAAAGTAGAACTAAAAGCTGTTTTTTTCATTTTAGATAGAGTAAGAAAGGGTTATAATAGGAAGCACAAAAAATACAAAAATCAGGAAGCACAAAAAAACAAAAATCAGTGTTACAGTAGAGTTCATTTTAGATTAAATAAGAGTTATAACCCTGTCAGTTTTATTTTGCCATCTGTGTCCCATTGGGGAGATTTCCCTTCATGTCCTGTCACTTAAACAAAACAGGAAGTAAGAGGAAATCTGTCCAAAATGAGGGAATCCCTGGTTGTCACCAGGAGCCCTCAATACTAGCGTCCCCACTGACAGAATCCTCCTCTGTTACTGTTCTGAGGACAACCCACAACACAGCGGATCACAGATCAACAGAAAGAGCTGAAGATTTCGGCTCTGTCATGTGATCAGCTGTGTCCAATCACAGCCGATCGCATGTAAATAAGAAAATGCCGGTTATCAGCATTTCTCTCCTCACAAACTGTCACGCTGACAGCTCGTGAGGAGAGAGGAGAGCTGGTAATCGGAATTCCTCAGAGGGGACATGTACACTGATCATCAGGGCACTGATGATCAGTGTGCCCTGATGATCGGTGTAGCCGCATCAGTGCCACCTGTCAGTGTCCATCAAGGCCACCTGTCAGTGCTCATCAATGCCACCTGCCAGTACCCATCAGTGCCACATCAATGCTACATATCAGTGCCTACCAGTGCACATCAATGCCACATATCAGTGCCCATCTGAGCTGCCTTTCTATGTTACCTATCGGTGCCAGTCAGTGCTGCCTATCAATGCCAGTCAGTGCTGCCTATCAGTGCCAACTTTCAGTGCATATCAGTGCGCATCAGTGATGCCTAACAGTGCTTGTCAGTGCTGCCTAACAGTGCCAGTCAGTGTCACCTATCAGTGCCAGTCAGTGCCACCTATCAGTGCCACCTATCAGTGCTATATATGAGTGCTGCATTTCAGTGCCCATCAGTGATGCATGTCAATGCCCATCAGTGACACCTACCAGTGCCTCCTCATCAGTGCCCATAAGTGCCGCCTATCAGTACCCATCACTGCAGTCTCATTAGCGTACATCAGTGAAGGAGAAAAATCACTTATTTACAAAACTGTATAACAGAAACTAAGAAAAAAACTTTTTTTTTTCAAAATGTTCAGTTGTTTTTGGTTTGTTTAGCAACAAATAAAAAACCCAGAGGAAAATTAAATACCATCAAAAGAAAGCTCTATCTGTCTCAAAAAATTATTAAAATTTTCATATGGGTACAGAGCTGCATGACCGCGCAATTGTCATTCAAAGTGCAACAGTGCTGAACGATGAGAATTGGCCTAGGCAGGAAGGGGGTATAAGTGTCCTGTAGGCAAGTGGTTAATTACCACTCTGTTATTTTTTTTTGCTAAATAAATGAAAAAGGACAAAACATTTTGAAAAAAAAAACTGTTGTTCTTTGTTATAAAATTTTGCAAACAATTAATCTTTCTCATAAATTTAGCCCAAAATGTATACTGCTACATTTCTTTGGTGAAAATAACCCAACTCAGTGTATGCTATTTAGTCTGTAGGAAATTCATACAGTCCACAAACTAAGGTATACAGTATATCTGAAAATCAATCAGTCCTGATGTACTGATGGCCTCATCTCTGTACAAATATCCCCCAAATGACCCCTTTTTGGGATGTAGACAGTAGGCGGTAATTAGCAAGAGGTATGGCAAGCTTTTTAAAGTTGTCTTTTTTTGTCACAATTTTTTGTAAAATGAAGAAATTTAGAAAAAAAAATAGTTTTCACCTTTTTTTTACATACTATCACCAGTGCAGTACAGCATCATCATAAAACTGTTGTGGCAGTGATCAGGGACACTGACTTGTGACAGTGTGTAAAGACAAACAATTAATCATTTTTGGTAAATTTGTGAATATTTTTTTTCTCTTTTTTATTACTTTTTTTATTTTTTAGGATTTATTGTTTACATACTGTGACCTGAACAATACAGTGTTACTATGGTAACACTGCCCTGGGGATGTGATCAGAATTTTTTTTCTTTTATACCCTATAATTGCTTATAACAGTGATAACCACTGTTATAAAAAAACATTTTTTTTTCTAAATGAAATTCATTCATTCCATATGCATTATTGTGATTAGCTGTGGTTGTCCACGGCTAATCACATGGCACAGATGCGTTGTGATTGGCCCTTCCCATACCATGTGATCTCTGTGACCAATCACAGAGAGAAACACAATAGTACACAATGAATAGCTGTGAATGGTAGCCATTCATTGGAACATTTGTCATGTGATATGCTGTGATTGGTCACAACACTCATATGGTACCGGCAGCATATAGTACACCATTCTGTCATTCACTCTCTCCTGTGGACACAGCGGGTGACAGATCATGCCGCAGTGCAGCCTGGAGGGCACGCGAGAGGCGTGATCCTGGGAAGACATCATATGACGTCCACCCAGGATGGCAGCACTCCCCCTCAGCCATTATTTGACTATAAGCCAGGCTTATACTTTGCTGGACTTCATTTTTTTGTCAGGGTCATATATAAAATATTCTATTCTGTGTACAAAATGAATGCATTGTAAGCTTTGGCAGGCAGAGAGCTACAGAGTACAGAATTAGTGTGCAGATCATTTTAAGAGTAAGAAATAAGAAAAAGCCTACATGTGATATTTCTGTTTTTTATTTTTAATAAATCCACAGACTTTTTTTAAATTCTGTTTTCAAATTGTCATCATGGGGTATTGAGTGTAGATTAATGAGAAAAAAAATGAATCTAAACAACTGTAGTATCAGGATGCAACATAACAAAATTGAAAAAAAGTGAAGGAGGTCTGAATACTTTATGAATACACTGTATACTGTAAATGGTACTGTTCGAATAGGCATATTTGTGCATGCAGGTTTTTGTATATATACTGTATTTCCATGAACCATTATACTCCTCAAATGTTTCTTTTTTTTATCATATAGAGAAAATGTAATGTTGAAAATGCAAGGCTATGCACCCCTCCCCCCAAATGATCACTTTTTATAAAGCAGACATACCAAGGTATTTGCTAAGAGGCATGGTGAGTATTTTGCAGATATCTTTTGTTGCCACAGTTTTTTTGCAATACAAAGAAACAAAGTGAAAATGTATTTTTTTATTTTTATTGTTTTTCACAACCCTGTGACAAAAATTATATCTGCAAAATACTCACCACGTCTCTTATGAAATTCCTTGGGGTGTCTACTTTCCAAAAAGGGGTCATTTGGGGGGGGGGGGGGGTTACTATTCTGGCATTTTTGGGACCTTCAAAACTGTGATAGATAGTGAGGAAGTGATGTTAGGAAATATGCTCTGTCCAGTATATGATGAAAGAAAAAGTAAAGTAAAAAGCACAAATACGCATGTACGAACATAAATGCACGTGTCAAGAGCCCCTACACATGAGAACATCGATTGCTTACAATATCGCCACACACACCACAGTGAGTGAAATAACTATAGCACAAGACCTCCTCCATAGCACTAAACTGATGACTTGTAGGGGCTTTTGAAGTGTAGATAGAAAATATAGGGTACTGAATGTTTGTCGCCATTTCACTGGCGCACACAAATTTAAGGTTTACATGTTGGGTATCTAATTACTTGCTGCAACCTCATATTTTACCAAAAATTTGGGTAATGTATTATTATTGTTTATCCTAAAATTAGAACTTCCATTATTTTATTCTCTAGGGTGCCTGCTTTCAGAAAATATATAATGTTAGGGGGTTTTGTGTAATCTTCAGACCTAAAATGATTTTTTAAACATGTGTGCAAAAAAATGCAAAAACAGCACTGGCAGTGAAAGAGCTAAAGTTAAAAAAAAAGTATGACTAGCACAATTAGTACACTAGCACAATTTTTTTTTTAAAAGGCCTCTTAAAGATGCAACACAATTGCATTCAATAGCAATAAATTTATCAAGCAACATACTCACAGAATCAGACATTTATCTATCAGCAAGGATTTTATGTGATTGCTGCTTTCTCAGTGCCAAACATACAGCCGCATCAGATCTATCATCTTTATTGAGAGGTTTTTTTTTCACTTTTACTTAGAACAGTTGCACCAGTAAGAACTGACTGGAGGCATTTTTTATATTAGCAAAGTGCTTCTTCTAAGCAACAGAGGTTGGAATTATAAATCAAGCTACTATAGTATAGTAAATCTGTTGCAGAAAGTTATAATTCCTCTTTGCATTGTATTGTTGCAGAATCTGGAAAAGAATTGTACACATTGTACTCCAGTTTTCAAAAATACTGAAAACAATGTGAAACACTCAAAAACAAAGTGAAAATGTGATCTTCTTTTATGTTTATCTGAATAGGTTGCCTTCTGACGGAAGGCATCTACTTCCTGTCTATATGACTGGTAACGGAAGCCTACTCCTATGTGCAGGGTAACCTAATTCATTGCTACTGTGTACTTTTATGCTTACAAAGTTTTTTTACCTCTTTTTGCCACCACTGCTGTTCACCTCTTTGCTGTGTTTGTGCTGGTTACTCAATTTTTCCTTCCACTATCTTTTGACAGTCTGCTTTAGGAGAGGTAACAGCACTGAGTCTATTTTCCTCCTCAATTCAGCCAATTAGCAGATACAATTTCTGTTGGAGCCATTTTCCACAGTCTCAGACAAATATAATACCTGTCCATTCCTCTTCTGCTGTGACCAGTGGCGTATTTACCGTGAGGCAAACAAGGTGTTTGCCTAGGTCAGCAACTTTCAGGGGGACAGTGCCACCCCCTAGAAAAACAGACACAAGTGGCAGGGATGGGGACCTGGATAGTTCCACCATAAGATACGAGGAGGCTTCACGCTGCTGGAGGGTGCAGGGGTGGCCGACTGTTTCTCTCAGGTTAAGGTTAGTGCATGAATCGAGTGGTTGTGGTGGGGGGGCAGGGGAATGTGTGTTGGTCAGTGGTGGGGTGGCAGGTGGGGATTGCGGTGATGGGCTGTGGTGGCAGAGGGTGGTGACAGTGGGGGGAATGTGGGTGGTGTTGGGGGTACCCAATTTTAGTGTTTCCTAGGACAGCACATGAACTAAATACACTACTGGCTGTGACAAAATTCAGATCATATTTTACAAGGCTATCCATTAACATATAGATTTTTCTCATACAGCCCATAGGCTTAAAGAGGGGAATCTAATAGATTTCCCCATCCATGCTCAACAGCATGTATAAAGGAATCTTCCCTGCTGGATATTGGATTCTGATACAAAATAGCCAGCACCCACAGCTGTCAGAAATCCCAAACAGTTACTACATATTATTGGATGCAGTCAGTGTTTGGCTGACAATTTTCCACTTGGCTCCTTCAAAAAAAGTTAAATTAAAAATTTACCTTTTTTGAGCTGAATAGTTCTGACAGAGCTATCCATGGCTTAGATTGCAGCTGATTCAGCAGAAATCATCTGAAACTCAAGTCTTTTATGACAATCTCTACTCTCTATTGAGCTAATACTGTTTAGCACTATTTATTAGCGGAATAGAAAGAAAGATTACTATGGTTAATTAGAGGATGGTTGTTTTATTTATGTGTGAGTCTGAGGCTCCAGTGGAAGCAACCCTGGCAGTACAGGGTTGATGCAGAGATGATGGGAAATTCTCTCTCCCCTGTCACTGACCATAAAACTGCTCATAGTTCTACCAATACTAAATGAAAACAATTATGGTATCCTGACATCCTCTCCCACTGGCTCCAGCAAGGGATACTTCTAAAGGAGACCCAATGATGAAGACACTGCCATTTCAAATATAATAAAATAATATCTTTATAGAATATCTCCATATTATTTCATTAAGTGGGGAAGGAGAGGAGGACTTTATATTGGATAATTGTATTGCCTAGAGTTCAAGTTTATTGCTAGTGTTAATTGTGTAAAAGACTGGCTAACACTTTTTTCCTTAGAAGGTATGACATATCTACAGATCGTGAAGGAATGGAATGCTCTGGGAGTTGTAGTCTTTCAAACAGAGCTGTGAAAGTCTGTACCTGTATTGGAACACTACAGCTCCTAGAACTTCCGAGTCTCTCATATCTACAGCTCCAGAACCTCCAAATGTCATATAACTCTTAAAGTATACTGTATGACTCCCTTATCTACATATTCTTCAAAATTTCATATCTGTAGCCCAGGAATG